TTTTGTAGAAAATGTACCAAAGCGTGAAATTTTAATACAATTTATCGCCGTAATTTAATGATTACGAAAAAATAAAAAAATACGTGCTTAATATTTTTCAATGATCTACCTACCTGACGAACGAACAAACAAAAATTTGTCGTCATCCCTAATCAAATCCTGTATAGGACATTTAAGATGATTAATTATTTTTTATACTATACATTCTGTTTACTATTACGTTAACAATATAAAATGAGTTTCTATATTTTTTATGGGTCTGGATGTGGTGATACCTTCTTTGTTTCAGATTTCCGTAATAAAAGTGTTGAATATATGTAACTATGTACTACCCAATATTCATTTCAGTTCAACTTTGGGGTTTCTGAATGAAATTGGTTTAAACCGAATAGGCCACCCATTATACTTTATGTTTATTACTAGCTACCCAAAGTGGCTTCGACCGCATGGAATTTGTTTATTTTCGCGTACGTCAAGTCTATTTTTTGAGACAAAATCTAATGTCCTTTCCAAATCTTTTTAGGTATCAAATTTTATTAGAATTGGTTCAGTAATTTAGGCATGAAAGTATTACATCCATACAGGCAGAGAGAATTACTTTCTTATTTATTAATGACTTAGCTAGATCAAAATATCGCTCCCGAAACCCCCTGCTTACTAAACTTAATGAAAATCATTGGAGCTGTTTCAGAGATTCAGATTATGTACTTATATATACAAGGATTTCTAGAACAAAGGTATTAAATTCAATTATGAATAAAAACAATATAATGTTCTGGTCTTTTTACAAGTAAAATAAGCTTAAGCCAATATGAAAATCAGATGCAACTACAAACTAGAAGTCTACGTTCATTTGAGTTATTTATATGCTAATTAAACTTCTAATTCGGCGATATAACTACGCTTTAGATAATTATTTGGTCTCTGTGCGTTAACAGCATATCATAACAATGACTATTTTCTGTCTTTCATGTGAAGAACGATCATAAATAACATAGCTTTTGTCGACATTCTAGCCCCTTATAATGAGTTCCAATATACGGGTGTAAATTATTCAGAATGTTTTTGGTAAATGATGGAAATTATAAAGCCCGAATAGGCAATTCATTTTGGGTCTATTCAAAAAGAGAAATGTATGATATGCGTTATTGATATATAAACTAATAGATGTATTTTGTTTATGAAAAAACAGTATAGAAAATTCTAGATTGTTCACACCACACAAATAGGTGAAACAGCCGTTAGTTATTATTAAAGACCGGATAATATGCAACATAAAAAGCTTGAAATATGCATGCAAATATGCATGAAAAATGCCTAAAATATGCACGAAAACTGACAGAATAAGCAACATTAAATGACTATTTTTGTTGTTTTGTAAATATTATTCCTTTAGATAAATTTTTTTTTGTTAGTAAATACTTGTTTTATGTTTTACTTTATTATGTATGTATCTTTTTAATTTATTGTTTTTTAATAAAATAAAAAACTCGGCATACATTTATAGTAAACTATCCATTGATAGATGTTAATCGATACAGTAACATGTTACATTATTTAATATTTTTGTAAACATTAACAATCAAGTATTGTTCTAAATGTTCAGTGGTAAGATTATGTCTTCGATCATTCAAAATATTTTTATAGGTCGAAAATGATCGCTCCACATCTACTGAGGTAGCTGGGCAGAATTTGAACTTGGGTGCTATGTTAGCGCTTATATTTTCTGGCAAAACTTCCGTCGGTCCATTAATAAAGCTATCAATTTGACACAGATGTTCAAAGCCTGGATTATTGTTCAAAATGTTTTCAAACTTTTCTTTGAGTTTATGCGGCAACGTACTTGGCAACGTGGAGTTAAGATAGCGGATTTTATTCATTGTTTGAATAGATTCATTCAATGCCAAACCGTGAGTTTCAAGCTTTTTAATATTTTCGGGTAGGTGAGAAAAATTGGTGCAAATTATAGCTATGTATTTTTTTATGATAGAATCGTTAAAAGCTGTCTGTGACTCACAAATTGCTCTTGACTCGGCACTGTCAAAGTCATTTACTACACCTTTGATGGCCTCAAAATGTTCATTGTAAAACAGTACAGCTTCTATCCATGTCCCCCATCGGGTTACAACTGGTTCGGGAGGGAGAGGAACATTTGGTATTTTTTCTTTGTAGGCTTTAGTACGAGCAAGTGCCTTAAGAAACACTTTTTTTGTTGATGAAATCAGTTTATTTACATTCCCAAATGTGGATCGTACTTCTTCAGCAAGTCGATGTACTCCATGGGCAAAACACGTTACATGAATCAAATTGGGATAAAATACTTGGAGGGCCTTGGCTGCTTTGATCATATAGGGAGCAGCATCTGAAAGAAATATAAATACTCTTTCTTCTGCAGATGATTCAGGAAATATTTTTTTATACCCTCGTTCACAAATCTGGCCATCGTAGAATGATTTGTTTTTTCTAATTCTTTGCAGGCCACCAAATAGGAAGGAGAAGGTTCTAATTTCAATGTACCAACAATTAAATTAGCTATATAACGACCACAACTGTCGGTAGTTTCGTCAGCTGAAATCCAAATAAGGTTCTCCTTGAGTTCATTACGTATTTCTTCCATAACATTTTTATAAATTGTTGGTATATAATTTTTACGCAATGTTGACTCGTCTGGTATGTTTTAATTTAAGCAATATTTTCGCAGAAAGTGATTGAGGATAGGATATTTTAGTTTATGGAGAGGAATATTACTTGCAAGCAATGCTTCACATAAATCCATGCTAAACTGGTTGTTTTGTTTACATTTCGAGCTAGAAGCAGAAGCGGTTATAAGCTGTTGTCGTGGACCTTTTTCTGCAATCCTGCGACGTGAACACTTGTCTTGACATGTTGGTCTATTTGAAACTTTTTAGTGCACGAAATATTTTTCTCGCAAACTCGGCAATATAAAACATTTCCGTCGTTAGTAAATGTTCCAGGAAATTCACTTATCCACGAAGACACACTTTTTTTCGGGAGGCATTGTGCACACACAAAAACTTTTAACTGCAGGTCAATTATCCGAGCACGAGCGTGTCAACAATCAAAGTAATAACATGCATAATAGGTGGGAGTAGCGCGGTAGGCGAGCGCGCGGCGGCGCGATCACTTATCTCTTTCATTTTATGAGTACCAAAACAAAAGACGCGCGGCTGCCGAGTGCGCTACGCTCGAAAAATACCTACTGTAAATTATAGCAATAATATGCATCATCACTAGATCTTAGAAAAAATATGCTATTAGCCTTGAAAATGGCTTAAATATGCAAATGCATATGCAAATATGCAAATGCATATTATCCGGTCATTAGTTATTATTATCTACTTTATTTTTATTTTTCTATAAAAATTGGTAGAGAATGTTCTATGATATTCAAATAACAATACTTTCATCTTGTATGGAAATATGAGTGGGTATAATTACCATTTATACATATATATCATATTTATCTAAGTTTTAACTATAAAAAATAAAATTTTAGTATAACTCAATGAAACAGATAGTTCATGTTATCATGATTTGAAGTAATTAAAAGGCATAACCTTATTGTAGATTGCACAGATTCTCCTAGAGAAGATATCATCATGTTGTGTACATTTATTTTTGGATTATTTATTAACACCATCTTATATTTCTAGTCATGTTATCTGTCACTTTGTTTACTATACATACAGTGAACGCTATTTATAAAGTAAAAAACTTTCAGTGAGTATGAAATAAAACAAAAATAGATTCATTGTTTTATCTCGAACAGATTTTCGATTTACAATAATTTCCAATTTCCCTAACCGGTTTTATTCTTGAAAGGCGGAAAGATTGTTAAGCGAATAATAAGAGATCGCTGGGTTTTCCCTCTTTTATTCAAATGAATATATTTTCCTCAAGAGCGTTAATCAGGCAGTGTTTTCATTAAACTTTCCTTGTTATTATACCTAGATGACACTGCATATATAAGCATATATAACGCTGTCGTGATAATTAGGATGATATTGTGTTCCAAACCTTTTTACTGCATGCCTTTCGTTACGTTCATAATTACTATCCTTGTTACTAGCTATCCTTGTCTATCTTATTCGTTTCATAGTAATCTGCGATCTGATTGAAGTAATCCTCTACATCTAATTACGACTTTGAAGTATCGATTAGGTTCTATGTAAAACATAGAATCAGTATTTAGTAGCATGCTATTTTCAAATTAATTACACTTATTAACAAATTAAAAGTGAGCTACTATAGTGGTAAAAATGTATGAGGTATTTGAAGTATTCTACAAATCACCATTTGCGGAAAAGCGAAATGCCATTAAGCAAAACCACTCTTAAAATATTGGTAAAAAGATACCTTATAGAAACACGTGATCCTAAAAGGATTGAATTGCTTACGCAGATGTAAAAGTATGATCATTAATCATAATTGCGAAAGCGTGAAATTACGTTTTGTAAGTTTTTTCTGAACATTGTAATAAAAGGGTATTTATAGAAGTATAATAATGCTATTTTCATTAAAACTATTAGGTTGGTAGCAGCAAACAAAGGGGAATTTTTCAATAATATTATGTTGTTAATTAAAAGTATAGTTTGTATATTAAGTATAATTTATATGATAATATTAATTTCATCACGAGTTATTATACCTTATAGCTTTTTAATGATATTCTTTCAGAGCGGTCAGAAAAATAATTTACGTCAATATAAATACGATTTCGTGACTCCTTATTTAGAAGTGACACGTGAGTTGACCAACATTTGTAGATGAAACAACAAAATTCATTTATTCATCTTCCATTTGAGTTTGGTTTAAACAAAGTACACGCTATAATTTTTCGTGAAATATCTCTTCCGATGACTGAAGTTCAATGCAATGAAACGCAGAAATATGTTAGGGCAGGGTCAACATATACCTTTACATTTGTCGTGATCAAACCAATAGACACTTTTTTGGTTTACCTTTTTTTAATTATTCAGGTATTCGACATCCTGTGGTCGGACCCGCAGTGCATTGGTGGGTGCGTGGCGAACGCTTTGAGAGGTGCCGGCACATACTTTGGCCCAGACGTCACCGCTTCATTCTTGCAGAAAAATAAGCTTAGCTTTATCGTCCGTAGCCACGAGTGCAAGCCCGGTGGGTACGAGATACTGCACAACGGAAATGTGAGTTTCAATTTCACTTTATATTTGATATGTTTCACCAGTTTTTAACAATGTTTTTGGATATTGTATGTATTATGTTCTTTGGTAGATTAGGTTATCTTACTAAAAGATTTGATATAACTTGCTGACATGTTTAGTTCGATATAAATAAGTTTGTATACCTCATGAAAAAGTAAAATCTCCATATTACAATGTATAATACGTGTGTTAAAGCGTTGAAGATGTCTTGGTGGAATGTGTCAAAAATCAAACTAAACAAAATAACCTATTTGCGAATTTTGAAGGTTAATAAATTAGATATCGGATTCATTATACCATACATGCTAGTCCAGCATCAAATGAAGCCCAATTTGCAACTGAAAGTCTGGGAGATGATACGTAGTTAAACTATTGTGATCACGATCGGATTGTCATGTAAACTAGTTTTATCTACTGAAGTTACTTAACTAAATTATCATGGAGCCGCTTGACTGACATGTGAATACGTCTTATTACTGGTATAGTTAGTTTTGATATTGGATACCTGTAACTTTGTCGCTCCGATTTTCGCTACGGCAGACGGTAAAGTTTTAACAACTTATCGATAGCAGTCACTTTGGCGTCAGGACAAATCATCGTCTTACAATATTATGAAATACAACAGATAGGTATACTTTTATTGCCAGTTATTTTATAGGTGTTTTCATTTTTACATTTTTTTCAAAAGTTTAAATCCTCAAAAGACGTTATCAGTATTCATAAAACGTCATAATATTTGATTGGAATTAATGAATATACTTTTTTGCACACGTTAACATAGAAGCACATATAATTAATAACATAGACGCAAAACGCGACTTTGTCGTTAGAAACTATATCGATTGAGTAAAGAAATTTAATATTTTATTTAAAAGAGTAATGTTAATGCTACCGATGTAATTAAAAAGAATACAATTATTTTCTTCTCAGAAAAAAATGGTAAATAAATTTCGTTTGTTTGGAATTAAACTTTTATTCAATATACTCATTTCATATACTACCTCTATAATATTTATATATTGTTTGTATACGTAGGTAGGATATAATGCCACTAACTTCATAGACTCCATCAGATATATCTAGTGACATAAGCAGAGAAGTAATTAAATAATAAGTCATTATAGGGTGACTTTTCATACAAATAAAGATAAAAACTATTAAATGAATTTTAAATAGTACGTAACTCTGTCGTTTGTGTATATAAATATGTTTCATTTGTGTCTATACTTATTTGATAAAATAAAAAAAGATACGTAAGTAACTCTGTGACAAGTCACAATATAACACATTAATTAGAGACCAAGTTTCCAGATTCCACAAAGCTCTTACTGCAATTACGGGAGCAATTTTCTCGAGCGTCAGTTTGTTCATTAGACCGGCAACCGATGTGTAGGATGTTCGTTGTCATGTCGCCCGCAACTTAAATTACTCCAACAGAAAATCTTTGTGTGAACTGATTTAGGGCGGGTCTTCCCGTAGGTTCATTGTTGTTTGCAACCAGAGAATAAATAAAAAGGTTTGCAACTCACGAAGCCGAAGTCTGACGACTCTATAAATGAAGAAGGTCAGATGGCGAAGATCAGACGTGACGATCATCCGTTGTCCGTGAGGGAAATTCGTTATAACTAACCTACAATGTTGTTGTATATTTACGTCGGATGTTGATTGTGTAATATGGTTAAAAATAATATTTTCAATGTTTTGTTTAGATATTTATATAAAAGTTTAATTTGATTACTTCAATTTTGAAATAATTTTGTAAAGAATACAAAAGGTAGCTCCGGAAAATTGTAAAAAAGTACATAAGGCTTTATTTCGAAAATTACAATTGGTCATATTCAGCTAGCATTTATTAATATAAATAGCACGACGGTTTAGCTAAAGTTAGCTCGACAAGCAAGTGGTCGGGCAACCACGTGCATTGGATTGGGCGTTACTCGTAAAAGTCTATAGTTAAAAGAATAGGGGTGATGATTTTTTTAATTAAATAAGTATTTAAAAAAAAGTAACTATTTATTTATTATCTGACTGATGGATTAAATAGAATTTTGTTTTTACCCAGTCATTTTCCTTATTAGGACACTCTTTTTTACCTTTGATTGCATGTTGATGACTCCTTACTTTCAATTACGACAGTCTAAAGAAATTTGAGTGTTTAATTTTGTCGTATTGTGAATTCATATCGTTTGCTCGTACGATCGAATATTGGGATTAACGCCTTAGTATTTTGCAATTTGTAGAATGAATATTATTGATAGCTTCATACTTTTTCTTTATGCTCCTTAAATGTGTGGGTTATTTCTACATTTCCACCAACTGATTTAACGGTAACTTGTGCTTTGTTTAGTGTAATTACATACAGTTTCTGGAAATTGCCTATACAATCGTCAGGTTAATAACATTTTATTTATACTATCAATTGGTTACAGGTGATAACAATATTCTCTGCTTCCAACTATTACGAACTGGGCTCCAACAAGGGAGCTTACTTGAAGTTACGAGGCAACTCCTTAGAGCGTCAGTTCGTGCAATACACCGCAGCCGTGTCCCGCACGCGTCGTTTGACGTTCCGCCAGAGAGTTGGCTTGGTGGAATCTTCAGCTATGCGAGAACTCCACAACCAGATTGTGATCGCACGGAGATCCTTGGAGGCTACCTTCAGGAGCATGGACTTGGACCAAAGCGGTGAGTGCAACACGTAAATCTATAATCGACTATGCATTTTCTTATATTTCAAATTTGAAAAAAGATAGTAGTAGTAAGAGCTCAATCTTCGGTCGGTTATTATGGCGTTAACTATCGTATTAGTATCGGTTATTTTTATATTAAACTCCTCTGTGTTTTGGTAGGACAGTTAAACTAGGGCTCATCTTGATCGTGACTGCAGTTTTTAATACCCACCTAGCGCACTAAACACACCAAGCGGACCCTTGAATTACTATGTAATTCTATTACTGTAAGCTCTAACTCATATGGCGCATGGTGAAGCTTCCCTTGTGCTTTATCCACCAATATCATTGTCTTATCATCATCATCATCACCGACCTATTAATATCCCCAATGCTGAAGCATAGGCTTTGCCTGATAATGATGTTAATTTTAAAATTGTATTTTATTTATATAAATCATTATTAATAACTAATATCTAAGTTACTATAAATCCTACAGATGTAATAAATAACATAAAATAAGCTAATCATTGCAATATTTGCTTTAACCTTAATCTCATATAAATAGGTGAGCGATGAGACCGTGTTAGATTTTTTTTAACGCAATCTTTACAGCTTTTACGAATTACTAAAAGATGTAAATCAAGTTAATGTCTTCGTAATATCCATAAGATCTATTTAAATAGCTTTTTTAAAATATTGCCAATCATTTAGTGCAGATACTTTTCTAATTACGTATTATTAGAAAATCGATTAAATTGAAAATGGGTTCCCGTCAGGGTTTTATGACAATCATCAAACTATGTAATAACGCTCACGGCGTTATTTATTAGATAAGTCCAAATGTCGTTAACGTGTAATGATTTTGAATAGTTGGTAATTCGACTGTTAAATAATGATTTTCACTGATAGGTTCACTAATGATAAGATAACATTTAGCAATAGTTAATAAGTATAAACTAATTTAGAGTTTCTAGTTTTTTAATTGATTCCTCAGTGATTTTTTAAGAGAAGAGAAGTAAGTTATGTGTGCTTGCCTCGCCAAAACTGGCCATAGTTAATATTTTCTATTGGATCGAGTTATCAAAGCTGTTTATTAATATTCATTAATAGAGAAACTATATTAAAAAAACTTATTTGAAAGGATTAAGGGAAAGAGTTATTTAAAAATCGCTTGATATATATGTCAATGATCTTCTTCTTTTGTTAATGGCTCGTTTGCGCCTTTCACATAATTCTGCCAATGTCTAGTGAATAAATGTCTACATGTAAATTGAAATGAATAAAAGATGGCGATGATCTTGATCTCGTTGACATAGATTATAAGCAAAAAGAAATATATAAAAAGAATCAATCAAATCAAAGTTGGTATACGAGCTTAAATGAAATAGGGTGACAACTTCGAGGGATATTAGAAATACGTGCCAACACCAAAGTAAAGCTTTACAAATATTTGAACTAAACGGTGCATCGACTTATATGTCACTCTTATATAGTGACAGGTTGTAAGATTGTCGCCATGAATAAGCCCATAGAATAAGAAACTATGGTTTTTATAAGCCCATATTTACTATCTAGATCGCAAGAGAATAAAAATGTGTTTACCTATTAACTTTAGCATTACAGTCAAAGGAAATAATTTAAGTTTTTAATGAATTAAATGCATTAACAAAAAATATTTTAGTTAGCAAAATGTTTACGAACTGTCAACAATACGTTTGGAATGAAAATTTATATTTATTGACAGTTTTTTACTCGGTTTTCGATGTTCTTCTTCTAATTTTCATCTGTTGAGTAAGTAAATGATTTTTGATAAGTAAACATTAGGAATATAGAAGTTACATAAATTTAGCAAGACTTATTTTAAAATAATATTGTGGTTGGCTGGTCATATTAATAAGTTAAGCTCTATTTTAGAGTAATAATTTCTTGATGGCGCCCGTATAGCAGTAACGTGCCGAACTCAGCGAGCTTTTATACTAGAGTTATATGATTATATTGTTGGATATTATATTTATTTGCCTGCTTTAAATGATTGAATTTTTACTTTACTCTTTACTTATTCTAAAATATACTGTGAGTAAAACGAAACTGACGAATAACAACGATCTTCCCTCTAATTTTAACCGAGTCACATTTCCCTATTCTAGTATAAAAGCTTATTGGCGAAAGTTCAATCAGGTCAGAACAATAGACGTCAGTTTCGCTCGAGTTACCCTTTGATGTTGTGCATGTGACCGTAAAATTTTAATGTCATGTCTTGTTCTTAAGAACTTTGTTTATTTTTCTATGATGATATTGTTTGCTATAACGAAGATATTGAATTTTTTCAAAATTTAAACTGGCAAATATCATTGAAATAATGATTTAATGTTTTCACAAAGTCTTTTGAAGTTGTGTTCTAGTGACAGTGAGAAAAAACATTGACTAAGAAATAAAGCAAATGAAGAAATTAACAGCTTTCAAGGAAACAGTTTGGTACCTAGGTTATGTGGTTTCGTTTTATGGTGGCTATTATCGTCGGTCGTCCCCTTTATGTCAGGGCGTTTATTGGCAAAAAAAGTGTGTCAGGGAAATATAGAGAGCAATAAGACATCTATTAAGGTAATTAAAATTGTAGGAAATTATTTTTTTATAATTATAACTTGAAATTAGATTGGTTACTTATGACATCATATTGCCACTACATCATTAACATTATTATTTGTCTGTTAATGTACGCATTACCCTGAAGATCCACCCATAATATGGAATTTATATTGATATGGTAGAAACGATACAACGGAAGTTTCTTAAGTATTTACAGTATAGGTGCAGCGGTTATGAAACTGATTACGACGCGAGGTGTAGGAAACATCATATTTTACACAGAACACAGAAAGACGTATTTAACCTCTCGTGGAGAGACGGAAAATTATCGATATAGTCACGTTTGTTAAAATATCACAATCTCTCGTATTCTCCATTACTCATCTCTTAAATAATTGTAGAATTCCAACAAAAGGTACAAGACACCAAGACAGTCTCAGTGTCCCGTTTTGTTACACAAAGTATAGGAGAAACCAATATTTTGTACGTTCAGCAAAAAGTTTTCATAATTTGGTGGATTCCGCGCTTGACATTTTTAATAGTAAACCGACTAATTTCACACAACGTTTGTGTAGTGAATGGTTTGATGTGATTCCTTGTTTACTATATACATTTATATACACTACTTATATCGATACTGTATGTTTTCCAAAGAAAATAAAATAAAAATCTTACGGACTTTGTGGGGATTGGTAATTGCTGTCAATGTGACCTGTTGTAATAATGTAGATAGTTTGAGAGAACCTTTTGCAATTTGGATAATATTTATACAATACTATTAAAATAAAATAAAATTCATACAATATTGATTGTACTAAAAATATTGAAAATGAATACTCGTAGTTTATTCGTATGTCTAACCCACACATTTTATTAGAAGCTTTATAAACCTTATGGTATCAAATATATTTACATGACACAATTTGTGTCCTGTATATCCACATCGTGTGGGTAGACGACTTCATGCTCTCGAAGTAATTTTTAAATGTAACGCCTGTAGTATTCCCAATGACATTAAAAGAAACAATATTACGTGTTATGTTTTTGATTATGTGTCTACGTATACCCGTTTCATAAAAGAGTTCCCTTGGCATATGTAATCTTATTGATTGTGTAATAAAAACGAAATAATAGTGATTCGAGGGACGTTTCTCGTGAAACGATCTAGAGGGGATTGTTTATTGTAGATTATCGAATTGATGATTCATGTTTTCGTCTTTCCCAATAACCCATACAATCATATGGCTTTGACTGTAATTATGTAAAAAAACCCACTCTTTGTGATGATACCTTCACGATCACACACTTAGCTATAATATATATTAATATGCCGTGCTATAATATATATTATACTAACCTATCACACACGGAGACAATGCTTTAATATATATGTCGCATCATCATTACGAAGATCGTTTGATTTAGTTTCTTTTATTTTAATTGCTAGTTACTTGATTACTTAATTACTCGATTGTAAAGAGAGCGTGATCATCGATACTTTTGATTTTATTAGAATGGTGACACTGACTTTGACAGTTCGTTTATAAAAACCAAGTTACCGCCATTTTGGCACACATTCTGTTTCCAAACGCCGAGGCGTAATGACATCAGATGATATCACGCTCATCTCGTTATATTTTCGTAAGAAAAGTTATAAAATGTAACAAATCCACGTTGGTATACACGCCTGCAGTGTTATTTTAAAGATAGACCTCCGATATGGACTATCTATTTGGGCTTCGTAATAGCCCATTCGGACTACCCGCCGTTATATATATAATAAAATAAAATAAAAAATTAAATATATTTTGCCCTCTTTCATTGATGGTCAGCCTAGCGTTTATAGGTTTATAGCCTACCATAATATGCAATAATATATATTAATATGCGTTAATAAATCCGTTGGTGAAGTCATAGAAATATATATTATAGCTGCGTGTGCGGTCATTTGAATATTTGTATAGAAAATATATCGTATCATCGTATCATTAATATATATTATAGCTACGTGTGTGACGGGCTGAAGAAGATACTTTTATAAATATGATTCCATATTAATTGAGGTATATGTATAAGAATTGTGTTTGGAGAAATGGTGTTTGTTAATATTACTAAAACTGGAGTACGTGTGGCAAATTTCAATTTTGAAATATTTGTAAAAGTCCTAGGAAGGTTCTATTCAAACTGTTACCTGCCAGACTGGGTGGTTTCATTATTTATCTAATTACACTGCGTTACACGATTTTGGTACCCGTTAAACTGATAGCTGGAATGAATAGGTAATGAGTCACAGATAAAATGTTCCAAATATATGTGGTATCCATCACGTCTAGTTTTCGAGGTACATGTCAATCATTATTTTAAACTCTCACTTTAGGAGTAAAAGAAACAGTTGAGGTTTTCGATGTATTATACTTTTTTTATTGT